GTGGGAATTTTTATTTTCCCTATATTTTGGATTTTTTCTTTTTAACTTACTAAAATATGTCTTCTACACTTTATATTTGGGTAAAACTTTTTCTTCTTTGAATATTTTTCGATTAAATATTTTTTTGTTTTTGTTAATAAATTGCTTAAAACTATTCTTACAGTAGTAACATATCTCGGCGTGCTCTCGTGATGACAGGCTCGGCAGATTCCGTTTTATCTCACTCTGCAACGATCTCTCCTGAGTGTGAGTTTACTAAGGGGCCTTCTCTGTACCTTAATTCACGTTCCCTTCGAACGGATACTAAAGGGATCACGGCGATAAAATTTGGCCTGATTATTCCACCGGGTACAAGTCCTGTTTTTTTTCAGGAGTGACAATTTGCGGCGTTTTTTAAACGGCACTTTTGCACTTCCGAATCTCGGGATTTTTGGTTTTTTTACTTCTCACTGATTAGGCGGAGGTTTGAAACGAAACGTCAGAATTTTTTACTTTCTGAACTTCGCGAGACGCGGAACTTGTTATCCTTTCGCGGTTTTAATCAGGTCCCTGTTCGGGCGCCAGTTAAAAGATTGGTTATGATTTTTATATAAAAAAATCAAACTTTCCTTTATTGAGTTGGATTAAGAACTAACTTACTTAGATTAAACAATTGTTTTTATAGCTACGCGTCGCTCCATCGCTGCCGCCGTCTCTGCCGCTGTTGATGTTTCTGCTGACGTTCTTTCATATTATTGGTTGCTGCTCTTGGTCGCCGTCGCCGTTGGCCAAACTTAATTGTAATTGGCCAGTGCATTTTAATTATAGTTTTTGTTGTATGCACTAAGTTGAGTTCGATCAACTTTGGAAATTGGCTATTCTGCATTCCCACGATCGCTGACCAAAAGGTGCAAGCTAAGTTCGTTAGAACTTTATTGAGAGCATTGCTTTGCTGTTAGTTGTGCAATTAATGCTTTCTTCTTCGGTTTGGGAAACTCTATTATTGAGGGCATTGCTTTGCTGTTTGTTGTGCAATCAATGCTTACTCATTTCCTCTGTCTGAGAAATTGTATTATTTTGGGTGTTAACTTATATATATATATATATATATATATATATATATATATATATATATATTTATGTGTGTTTTTATACCCTTGCAGAGGGTATTATAATTTCAGTCAGAAGTTTGCAACGCAGTGAAGGAGACATCTCCGACCCTATAAAGTATATATATTCTTGATCAGCATCACTAGGAGAGTCGATCTAGCCAAGTCCGTCTGTCCGTCCGTCTGTCCGTCTGTCAGAATTTTATCAAAATAGAACGTCTAAAAATATATAAATTAACTATCTAATAGTTGAGCTGCAAATCATCATAGCTTCAATGTTTTTCAGCATATACTCAAGTAAATCATAATTTAAATGTTTTCAAAAGTATTTAATTTATGCAATAGCTGCAAGGGTATATGAACTTCGGCTTGCCGAAGTTTGCTTTCTTTCTTGTTAGAAAATAATTTATGTTATGTTTTCAGTTTTAGCAAATTCTTAGTTTGTCGAGCTCTAGCATCTATATTCGGAAGTCTATCTTTATGACTCGTATGGGAGAGTTGAAGAATTATCTATTTCTACATAGTTAAGCAGATCTGGAGATACAAAATAAAATTAGCATGAAAATAGATGAAAAACGTTATTTACACTTAAAAAAATGCTTCCATCTGCACCGGGATATCAAGGTTTGATCTCTGGAGGATTTTATCGATATAAATTTGTATACTAGTGTTTTTGGTGTGCTTAATGGGTTTCAAACAACTTTAGGTATTTCTTTTATCTCATTTTTGTTTGACAATGATAGTCCCTTTTCAACTTTTTTATTTATGCCCTGAAAAAGTTGGGTTTGTTTTTTTTTTTCTTAGAACTTTTTGGATGTTTCAGACCCCGAAAACGACAAAAAAAATATAATTGCTCAATGGCAAAATTAATTTTTATTTTAAACTTGTCGTTTACTCGATCACAGTTTCACAAAAAATTTTGAATTATTTTTTGTTTTATTTATATTAAAAAAAAAAATAGAATACTATTTTTTGTCGTTTTGCTTTTTTAAATTTGTAATTTATACGACTACTTTTTGTGGCATTAATTAATTACTTAAAAACGAAGCAATTTTCTAGATATTAATACATTTTTTATTTGTATTCAGAAAATTATGTTAAAAAATAAACGTTTGGAAATATAATTGGCGTGTTCTTAGCTTTTTATTAGGATATTCTCTTTCTTTTGGGAGAAGTTATTTTCAAGATTTAATTTTCAATAGATTTAAATCTCTTTTGCACTTTTCATACTTCTTTGTTAAAAATTGCTCCATCTTGCTTGAAACAAGGTCCACGTATTGACGCTTTCATAAATTCGAAAATGGCAATCTCCTTTGCACTCTTTGTCGCCTCTGCTTTCCATATGTTAAGCAATTCGGAGTCAGCAAATTTGTGGTTAAAAATTTAATATAATATACTAACAGAATAGAAAAATAATTGGTTAATCAACAACATGTAACAAGTTTTAGAGCTTGAAAGTGCTTAAATCACTTTGTAGCTCTATTTAAAAATAGCAAATCACTACAAGCTTTTAGTTTTTTTGGCGTTTTACCTTTCACAAGATTGCAGCGACACCACAATGAATATCTACAATTCACGTTTACAAAAACATATTACAAGCCACTATTGTTGGACTGCATGCCAAAAAACTGCACTTGAATTGGTTTCTTTAATTCTTTTTTAGTGTTACATTTGGATGAAAAATTTACGATTAAACAGCACTCGTTTCAAGTTGCACCAACAGCTGACTTTAACAGCTGATAGCTTAACAGTAATGCGCTTTGCTAAAATTTTGAGTTTGCAACATTTAAGATTAGGGTTATTCCTATCCATCGCGATTAAAAAATTACATATTTAACGATTTTTAAAAAATGGGTTTTTGCCAAAAAATGATGTCGGTGGCCCCATAGTGACTGGTGTGGGAAAACAAGAGCCAATTATTTCAAGCGACCATTGCAATAGTTTAGGTGCTGGCCTTAGCTTTGAGTACCACTGGTGGGAGAAAATTACAGAGTTGTCCAAGGTCCAAAATGTTAGTGATTGTCAAATGAATGAAACAACCTCAATTGAGTTCTGAATTAAAGCAGTTTTATTATTCCAATTTTTTTTTTTCAAGATTCTTATTCTTGTCTTTTCTATGGCCTACGCAGATACCGAGCGGAAGAGAGGCTATCATTTGTCTCTCTCACAGGGCTCTTGGTGCTGTGTGTGAGTCACATCTTAAGCGATAATCCAAGTTACTTCCACTTCTTCTAACATTATTTTTTAATGATCTCCCTTTAGTCTTAACAAAGGATGCGCGGTCCTTATGTACGCAGATGACGTTAAGCTATACAGGCATATTGCGATATTTTCCGCAGTTCAGATTTACAAACGGATCTGAATGCCTTTCAAACATGGTGTTGTGAAAATCTATTGGACTTAAAAAGCGCTAAATGCTAAATAATGACATTTTATGCTAAATAATGACTCTTATACCACATATTCATTGTGTGGTTAAGAGTTGACTAGTTGAAAATACCTTTCCCACTGTAATTGCAAAATGTAACTGAACAAAGGGTGCGCTTGAAAAACAAATGAAAAACAAAAACATAATATACATAGATAAGCGCTGATTTTAACCTTTCCTTTGCATTTTTCGCGACTTGCTGTGTTTTTGTGTATAAACTTAAAAAAAATATATACATCTTGTCAAGTGAATAAAGTGTTTAACAAAATAAAAGGAAATACAACAATAAAGAAAGCAATCTTCCTTCCTTGCAGTTATTGCAAAAACTAAACATCTACATTTCGCGTTATATGAGTGACCATTAAAAACCATTAAAGCAATGATGATGATCACTTAAATTATTCGATCGTTCCTATGGCAGTTTTATGACATCGTTTTCCGATTTAAAATAAATTAAAAGCGTAATTCTGAATTATTAAACCATTTATATGTCCAAAAGAATTACAAAGGAAAATTTAAAATTATAGAAGTTATTATTTTTGATTTTTTGTTTAAATTCCGATGGTTCTATTTAAGCTATATGATATAAACCGAAATTTCAAAATAATAAAGCATCAAAGAACTATTAAAAAAAAATAAAATACAGCAAAGTAATATACTTTTTCTTTTCTTCCTCGATTGTTCCTATGAGAGCTATATGATATGGTCGACCGGTCCGGCTCCTTCCGACTTATATACTACTTGCAACAAAAAGACAACTTTTGAAACAGTTTCTTGCAGATAGCATTAAAACTGAGAGACAAGTTTGCGTAAAAACATACGGACAGACGGACGGACAGACAGACATGGCTAGATCGACTCTCCTAGTGATGCTGATCAAGAATATATATACTTTATAGGGTCGGAGATGTCTCCTTCACTGCGTTGCAAACTTCTGACTGAAATTATAATACCCTCTGCAAGGGTATAAAAGTAAACAATAACGGTATATTAACGGTATTAGAAAACAGGTTTAATTTTTTTTAAAAGTCGGACATCCGTATAACATAGCTGCCAGGAAAAGATAAATAAATAAAAAAAAAGATTTCCGGGATATCGACAAAACTTTTTGTATTAACATAAACTCATATTACCTGAGATATATATATTTCAATTGTTCAACATACGATTAAAATTTCCTTAAAATATAACTAGATACTATTTCTACCACACTAACAACACACACACACTTTCTTTGAAGAAAATCTCGTTTCAGATTTTTTAATTTTTCATTTTATTTATTTATATTCAACGCTACAATCAAAGACTTATATTTATTGCGTTAGTCACAACGGTTTGAGTAACATTTTTAGGTAAAAGAAATGTTAAATGTACTACTTTGAATAAACAAAATAGATTCGTGTTACTTTTTTGACAATCAACTAAAATATATTATAAGATTTATAAATAGTTCTTATTAAATGTAACTTATTGTATTTTTCTAGGGGAAATAAAAAGTATAAAAATGCGGGTCACTGCACCCTGTAGGATTCTGGTGAGTTAAACAGTAACCCATACATTTTTTTCATGAATCCTGTGGTTCATCGTATCTTTCAACAGGTGTATTTAGCCATGATGGCAACATTGGCAGTTGAGGCCCACATTCGCATCGAAACACAGGAGGTTCATTTGATTTCAAACTACACCCCCGCATTCGTTCGCTCCGCAGTGGAAAGCATACCATTGGACGACGGTCATCTAATTCGTTTTAGTGCGCCATCCGATTTTGGCGACACATTTCTACCTTTGCGCAGTGCCGTAGAGAGTGTTCCTACGCTTAATCAGAGAAATGTGGCAAAGCTGAGGGAGTCTTCCGGCATACGTACTTTCGTGCGCGATTCCGTAGAGTCAACGCCTAGTGACAAAGAAAATATTGAGAACATGGAGTTCTTCACCAACTTTGAAGATTATGTCAAGATAAGCAATTTAGATGCAGAACTGAAGCCTAATAAGTTAAAAGTGTTAGAAAAGCAAGATGCTTTAATCGTTTCCGACAAATACGCCGCTTTTATGGCTCCAGGAAAGTCAGATGACACCTATCCAAAGCCATACCGAGCCGGATCCCCGCATCAGGAATTACTTAAAGAGGTGAATGTCGGACAGCTGGAGCAAATCGATGAACTTGATCGGTACGTAAATCAGCTGCCATACGGCGCACTGGGAAAGGAAGGTCTCAAAATTCCGCAGTCCGCCTATGGGGCACTGGCGGAGATAAAGAGAAAGGACTTCAACATGGCTACAAAAGTACTTTGTTATATGTCAAACTGGGCATTCTACCGAAAAGGTGATTTCGTTCCTGAGAAGATAGACACCAAGCTCTGTTCCGTCATTATCTATTCGTTCGCCTCCCTGGACCCCGACCAGCTGACCATTCGAGAGTTCGATCCATGGGTTGACTTGGATAACCAATTTTATCGCCGAGCGACTTCGTTGGGAGTCCCCGTACTTATCGCTTTGGGTGGATGGACGGATTCTAGCGGCTCCAAGTACTCCCGCCTGGCCAGTGACGATATCAAACGACGGGTCTTTGCATCTAGCGCTGCAAGTTTCCTGCAACGTCACGGGTTCAGCGGACTGCACCTAGACTGGAACTACCCGAAGTGCTGGCAAAGCGACTGCTCAAAGGGACCTGTGAGCGACAGGCCAAACCTGACCAAGCTTCTTCGTGAGCTGCGTACGGAATTCCAGCGTGTTAATCCTAATTTTCAGCTGGGAGTTGCCATCTCGGGTTATAAGGAAATTATAACAGAAGCATACGAGTTTCCCGCTTTGTCAGATATAGTGGACTACTTGACAGTAATGACCTACGACTACCATGGCGCCTGGGAGCGCCAGACTGGTCATGTAAGTCCGCTTTACGGGTCTTCATCCGACAAATATCCGCAGTACAACACTGACTATACCATGAAACTGCTTTTAAAAATGGGCGCACAGAGAGAAAAACTTGTATTAAGCATACCATTCTATGGCCAGAGTTTTACTTTAGAAAGAAGTAGTCTTAAGCTGGCGGGAGAAGGTGTTCCAGCCACAGGACCTGGAGAATCTGGCGAAATGACAAGACAGCCGGGAATGCTGGCTTTCTATGAGATCTGCCACCGCATTAGAGAGTCTAAGTGGATGAGTGGTCGGGATGCAAACCGGAAATCTGGTCCTTATGCAATGCTGAAGGACCAGTGGGTGGGTTACGAAGATCAGACCAGTGTCGCAGCAAAGGCCCAATACGCGTCCAATAACAACTTTGCCGGAGTGGCAGCGTGGACTGTCGACCTTGACGACTTTCAAAACCGTTGTTGCACCGAGACTTACCCGCTCCTGAAGGCTATTAACCGGGCATTGGGTCGCTTAAACTCGGAACCGCCTATTCAAATGAACTGTGAGCGTCCACCGTCAGTAGTTACTCCCATGCCTCCCCATATGACAACAATCAGTAGCGATGGCTCTGCAGGATCGGTACCAAATCACGAACACACAACATCCGGGCAGAACTTGGATTCAAGCAGTAGCCCACCGCTTAACACTACGAAAAAGCCAAAGCCTAGTTATAGCAGCACTGCCATCAGCACCATATCCTGGTGGAGCTCGACTACAAGACGTCCGAGCAAGCCGACTAAATCAACCTCCAGACCGTCCCACACTACGATCCCGGTGCCAGCAGTGATTTACCCGTTGGTAAAGCCCTTTAACTGCGTGAGCGGCGAATTCTACGCTGACTTAAAGAATTGCAATGCTTACTACCACTGTATTATTGCCGGGGAGTTGCGTCAGCAATTCTGTCCTGGCGGTCTTCACTGGAACAACAAGGTAAAGGGCTGTGACTGGCCGTCATCCGCTCAGTGCTTAGAAAGCCGCGGTCAGGAGTCGAGCACTGCTAGCCCAAAACCAGCTCCAGCTTCTAAAAAGCCAAAAAAAAAAACAACAACTTCAAGACCCAGTAGGAAACCGACAAAGCCGGCCGCGCACCATCAGCTCGGCAGCACTTCATCGCGCCCACCCTTATCGGCCAGTTGCAACGAGGGGGAGTACTACACTCACAGGAACTGTGGGATATACTACATCTGCGTTAATGGAGCCCTGATACCCAATGAATGTGGCGGAAATTTGCACTGGGACGCAATCCGTAAGATCTGCGACTGGCCAGAGAACGTGCAGTGCGTGACAAGCCAGAAATACTTGAAAATCATTCAGGAAAGTCGCGCAAACGAGGAGGATCCTTGCAAGGGCGAAGAGCGAGTACCCTATCCGACAAACTGTTCCAAATATCTATTTTGCTTATGGAACCGCCTTCAGGCGGGTGACTGTCCGCCGGGGCTGCACTACAGCCAAGCGATCGGAAACTGCGACTGGCCAGAAGCAGCCAAGTGCAATCAGAATGCTGGTAATAGCAGCGGAGGATCAGAATCAAGTGCTACTCCAAAACCTCCGCCACTACCCAAGCCTGCACCTACTACCCAAAGGCCCAGCAACATCCCGCGACCAACCTACGCTACAGATAGGCCAGAGCTCAAGCCCCTTGACGGCTACTACAAAGTCGTGTGCTACTTCACCAACTGGGCCTGGTATCGCAAGGGCCTCGGTCGGTATACTCCCGACGACATTAACACGGATCTTTGCACTCACGTGGTTTATGGCTTCGCGGTGCTGGACTACTCCGAACTGATCCTACGCACACATGATTCCTGGGCCGACATTGACAACAACTTTTACACGAGGGTAAGCAGCCTTAAAAGAAAGGGTATCAAGGTTAGCTTGGCGCTGGGCGGCTGGAACGATTCGCAAGGAGATAAGTATAGTCGCTTAGTAAGAAATCCCTCAGCCCGGGCACGTTTTGTTCGTCACGCCCTGGAATTCATTGAGAAATACGGCTTTGAGGGCCTTGACCTAGACTGGGAATATCCAGTGTGCTGGCAAACGGAATGCAATAAGGGATTCGCCGAGGAGAAGGAGGGTTTCACTGCCTGGGTTCGGGAGCTTTCCGAGGCGTTCCGACCTCGTGGACTCTTGTTGTCAACTGCAGTCTCGCCAAGCAAGAAAATTGTTGATGCAGGATACGACGTACCCCAGCTATCTAGCTTATTTGATTGGATCGCTGTGATGACGTACGACTTCCATGGGCAATGGGACAAAAAAACTGGTCATGTGGCACCTCTGTACTATCATCCCGACGATGACTTTGAGTATTTTAACGCAGTAAGAACATAAAAATGTGGGACTTTGATCTTTTGTGAATACATATTCCATCAAATTTCGCAGAATTTCTCACTAAATTATTGGATCGAAAAGGGAGCCCCTTCACGAAAAATCGTTATGGGCATGCCGCTATACGGACAATCCTTTACTCTAGAAAATGCAAGCAACAATGGCTTACATGCCAAGGCTCCTGGGCCCGGCCAAGCTGGAGAATTCACTAGAGCCGCCGGATTTCTGGCTTATTATGAGGTAAGGTTGTCTTGATATTATCTTTATTTTGCAACAATAACACTGGCTTACAAATTTAATTCAAAGAAGTCTTTCAAAAATCAAACATCTTCAAAAAATTACACCCCAAATTTTTTATATGGGCCTTTTCTTAATAAGTAAAAAAAACATATAAGTTAAATAACATATATTTTTTATTTTTTATCTCCAGTTCTAACACTAAAGTTTATACACCATACAAAAAATTATAAAAATTCGAGACTTAAAACCGAAAATAATTTAACAACTTTATCTTGAATGTAGAATATTAACGTAGCCTACATGCTTTTTAGTCTGCGAAAAAAATGTATTTTTCGACTATTGCATTCGTTGCATCCCAAATACAAAAAACAATAAACAAAAAGTGATTGCTGAGTATAATACTTTGTTGGCTGCGTAATGTTCCGTCTTTAAAATAATATTTTCGTCTTTCAGGCGTTTTTTTTTTTGGAAGAAGTATTGTGTGGTGTAAACATTTCAGTTTTAACTACTGTTCACGCAAAGTAGGCATTCTTTAAATTCTGACAGTCTAACGCGGCAGTTTCTCCAGATGTATCCATCCATTGTTCCTTCGAACAGCTCCAACTCTCCCTCAAGTCTCCGCTCCGCTGTGGAGCTAATAGGCTTATTTTGTTTAAGTTAGTTCCTATTTTCAAGTGTAAAAAAAACACCTGAATGTCGCGCAATACATAGCTCGCAGCCAATCCTTTCCGGATTTGTTGATCATTGTGATTACAGACTTCATCATGTTGTTAAATATTACGGTGAGAAAATATACTGTACAGTTCGGCTATTCTATGATCATTTTAGAGGAGATAAAATCGTGTCCCGACGCAATTTTTTTATCTTGAAATTTTATGACTCTTGTAACTTTTTCTGATTCGAATATGATAGGCGGGATTGCTTCATGATTTCTGATTAATGGAAGCACAAAGCTATTTGTTGCTGAAAGTGGTTTGCAAATTGCCCTCTCTACGTTGCTGTGAGCCCAATCTCCTGTTTGTGTATGCAAAGGTGATTCACTCTCGATAAGTGGGCATATGCTTGATTTAGCTTTCCGCGGTGAATATCGTTTACTGTTTGGAGAGAGTCCCTCCATAAAGGATACTTTCTCACATCTTCTAAAGCTTTACATAGTAGGTTGTTGGCTAGTTTTAATCGCTCCTTGGAGGCAGGTGATCTATGAGATTGCCACTCTCTCCGAAGCCTTCTCTTATTGCGAATCAGATCCTTAGTAAACTAAGAAGCACGACTGCTTTTAAATGTCGATGTCTTCGTTACCAGAAATGATTGGACAATCACCAATGTGGGTGCTTACATACCTTCTATATTTTAACCATTCTGTTTTACTAGAAGTTAGAAAAAGTGGTCGTTCTGATAGCTGTGTATGGTCATAGAACTGAAATAAGATTAGAGAGTGATCCGATGATAGATCTGATAAGTGTTCTACGCATGTATGAGACTGCTGCACTCTTCTGGTAACATCAAAATCAATCAAGTCAGGCTACTTTTAAGATCTGTTGGCCAGTATGCGGGCTTGCCTGGAGAGATAAAGTTAAGCTTGTTTCGTGGTGTTATTATAGCTTTGTACAGTGGTCTTCCTCTAGGTTTGGTGAGTCGTGATCCCCATTACAGTTGAACATTAAAAAAGTTAAGTTAATAAAATAAATTATTTGGTAACCCCTAACCGAAACCGCGGTCTCAAATCGCCATTCACTTTGAAACACCAATCAGCGGTCACTCCAGTGGTGCCACATAATACGTTTTGAACTTCAATTTAAGCAAACAAAAAACGTTTGCCGGCATTTGTCTTTATCCTTAGTTCTTAATGTCATTACTCGAAGAAGAAAAATCCAAAAAAGCCAAACCTCTTCATGGATTTAATAATTTTTTAAGTGAATAAAACAAGGTCCAAGCTTTCTTTCGAAAGCAGCAACCAAACTTTTACAAATCGAAGGGCAGTCGCGAAATGAAGACCTGAAAGAATCACCGTAGATGCTATATCCTCCTTTATACTTTAAAGTATCAATAGAAAGGCGTTCTTTCCCATACGATAGATGTAGCGAAAACCGTCATTTGTAAGAAAAACATAAGCGAACGCTACAGTCGAGTTCCCCGACTATTATACCCGTTAACAGTATTTCTTTCTGTCTCTCTACATCAGGGATTACCGTCAGAAGCCGAACAGCGCCAGAAGGGCGGCCAACATGTCTCAGAACGACGTGATAGACGTGTTAAGTTTTTTTGCGATTTGTGGGCGTTAGAGTGGGCGTGGCTCCGTTTTAAATAAAACTTGCTCATGCCGCATTCCAAATCTCTAGCTTTTATAGTTTCCGAGATCTCGACGTTCATACAGACGGACAGTCGGACCGACGGAAATAGCAAGATCGACACGGCTATTAATCATGAATAAGAGTATATATACCTTATATGGTTGAAAACACCCACTTCTACCTGTTATATTCTTTTCAACGATCACTCTACGAGTAACGGATATAAAAACGGCCCGATGGCTTACAGTTTAAGTAAAGGAATTTTTAACGATTTGGAAAAAATTTTTTAAAATATAGATATAGATATAGATATAGATATAGATATAGATATAGATATAGATATAGATATAGATATAGATATAGATATAGATATAGATATAGATATAGATATAGATATAGATATAGATATAGATATAGATATAGATATAGATATAGATATAGATATAGATATAGATATAGATATAGATATAGATATAGATATAGATATAGATATAGATATAGATATAGATATAGATATAGATATAGATATAGATATAGATATAGATATAGATATAGATATAGATATAGATATAGATATAGATATAGATATAGATATAGATATAGATATAGATATAGATATAGATATAGATATAGATATAGATATAGATATAGATATAGATATAGATATAGATATAGATATAGATATAGATATAGATATAGATATAGATATAGATATAGATATAGATATAGATATAGATATAGATATAGATATAGATATAGATATAGATATAGATATAGATATAGATATAGATATAGATATAGATATAGATATAGATATAGATATAGATATAGATATAGATATAGATATAGATATAGATATAGATATAGATATAGATATAGATATAGATATAGATATAGATATAGATATAGATATAGATATAGATATAGATATAGATATAGATATAGATATAGATATAGATATAGATATAGATATAGATATAGATATAGATATAGATATAGATATAGATATAGATATAGATATAGATATAGATATAGATATAGATATAGATATAGATATAGATATAGATATAGATATAGATATAGATATAGATATAGATATAGATATAGATATAGATATAGATATAGATATAGATATAGATATAGATATAGATATAGATATAGATATAGATATAGATATAGATATAGATATAGATATAGATATAGATATAGATATAGATATAGATATAGATATAGATATAGATATAGATATAGATATAGATATAGATATAGATATAGATATAGATATAGATATAGATATAGATATAGATATAGATATAGATATAGATATAGATATAGATATAGATATAGATATAGATATAGATATAGATATAGATATAGATATAGATATAGATATAGATATAGATATAGATATAGATATAGATATAGATATAGATATAGATATAGATATAGATATAGATATAGATATAGATATAGATATAGATATAGATATAGATATAGATATAGATATAGATATAGATATAGATATAGATATAGATATAGATATAGATATAGATATAGATATAGATATAGATATAGATATAGATATAGATATAGATATAGATATAGATATAGATATAGATATAGATATAGATATAGATATAGATATAGATATAGATATAGATATAGATATAGATATAGATATAGATATAGATATAGATATAGATATAGATATAGATATAGATATAGATATAGATATAGATATAGATATAGATATAGATATAGATATAGATATAGATATAGATATAGATATAGATATAGATATAGATATAGATATAGATATAGATATAGATATAGATATAGATATAGATATAGATATAGATATAGATATAGATATAGATATAGATATAGATATAGATATAGATATAGATATAGATATAGATATAGATATAGATATAGATATAGATATAGATATAGATATAGATATAGATATAGATATAGATATAGATATAGATATAGATATAGATATAGATATAGATATAGATATAGATATAGATATAGATATAGATATAGATATAGATATAGATATAGATATAGATATAGATATAGATATAGATATAGATATAGATATAGATATAGATATAGATATAGATATAGATATAGATATAGATATAGATATAGATATAGATATAGATATAGATATAGATATAGATATAGATATAGATATAGATATAGATATAGATATAGATATAGATATAGATATAGATATAGATATAGATATAGATATAGATATAGATATAGATATAGATATAGATATAGATATAGATATAGATATAGATATAGATATAGATATAGATATAGATATAGATATAGATATAGATATAGATATAGATATAGATATAGATATAGATATAGATATAGATATAGATATAGATATAGATATAGATATAGATATAGATATAGATATAGATATAGATATAGATATAGATATAGATATAGATATAGATATAGATATAGATATAGATATAGATATAGATATAGATATAGATATAGATATAGATATAGATATATATAGATATAGATATAGATATAGATATAGATATAGATAGATATAGATATAGATATAGATATAGATATAGATATAGATATAGATATAGATATGATAGATATAGATATAGATATAGATATAGATATAGATATAGATATAGATATAGATATAGATATAGATATAGA